CAGCAGCTGCCAGTTTGCAGCTGCCAGTCTGAGGCTGGCGGCATCAGCTGGCAGTCTGCAGCCAGCAGCTGACGCTAGCCAGTTTCGGAATAACTTGTATGCCAAGTACAGAAGACTTGTACTCGTTGTCTTCATTTTAATATGTTTGTTGCAACCCGTTCCATGCCATCTGTCCAAAGCAAAATAATCACCTCCACCTGGCTGCGTAGCACGCTTTCGGCCACAGTTGCATCCAGTCTCACAATCTTTGCTAGTGCTCACGGCCGGTGGCTTGCGCACCTTGTCGCCCCTCGAAGAACCAACGATGAACTCATCATGACAAAGTTCCATGCCTGGGCCTGCATTGTGCCAAACCCCTGCCCGGCGCTTTCCAAGAGAGCATGGGAGTCTACTTTCTGCCATATTCGGCATGTGGTCCGTCTTCTTCGTGCACGCGCGTTGCCTAAGTCCACCTCGGTCCTCGAGTTCCTGTACTGAGTGCTCTGGGTGCTGACATCTGCTTGCACCAAGACCAAATGGAGGAGACAGATGGGCAAAAGTACTGCTGAAAAGGAGGAGGCAGGAACAGGAGCTGGGCGCCAAGGAAGCAGCAGTGCCAGCACAAAGGTTCGCTTCAGTGCCCAGTCCTTCTTCTCTTCCGAGTACCTCTTGTAGAGCCAGCGCCGCGGCCTCTCCAGGCCCGCAAAGAAAACAGGAAGAACTTTTGGTGACAAGACGCATCAAAACCCTGAGGCAAAGGTATGTTGCCTGGCTGGCAAGTGCCTTGCCAGGCAAGGACTTTATGGAGCAAAGTGCCTTGCTAGAAGATGACCACCTTGCCAATGCTTGGCAAGCTGCCGCAGAAGGTGGCAACAATCCTGAGGATGCTTTGCAGATGGCTTTGAAATGCGAATTTGAGCCCACACCAGGGCCTTGTTGTAGCATTGGCCCACTGGGGCTGCAACGTTTGCTGGAACTGGAAGGTCTCGACTTTGGCATCGTACACTTGCCTGAGCTGAAACGAGTTCGAAGGTTCACCCAGTGCCCCTCCGGGTCCAAAAAACGGGGTCGCCCAGCGAACTCATCGTCTACGCCATCTTCGACGAAGAAACGGCCTGCATCCTCATCTGGCAACAACGGCTACATGGAGAAGAAGTTCATGGATGTCTTTTGAGTACGTGTGGTAAAACATGCTACTTTCCTAGATCAATGAATCAGCAGGGAATGCATTCCAATGGAACGCTTGCAACAAGGTTGTCAATTTCCTTTCATTGTTTACATGTGTAAGACGGTGTTAATGTTCTGACAATGTGTTCGATGAAGTCACTTGATCAAGGAGTGGATTGCCAAGCTCTCGAACTGCGCCGCGCGATTTCTCACGAAAGTGGGCTGCGCAAGCTGCATTGTTCCAGGCTGCTGCGCGCAAGTTGCTCTCTGCAAGCTGGTGCGCGCAAGTGCTCTGTGCAAGTTGCGCTGCGCAAGTGCTCTGAGCAAGTTGCTCTGCGCAAGTGCTCTGCGCCAGTTGCTCCGCGCAAGCGCTTTGCGCATGTGCTCTGCGCAAGTTGGTCTGTGCAAGTTGCTCTGCGCCTGCTCTGTGCAAGTTGCTCTGCGCAAGTGCTCTGAGCAAGTTGCTCTGCGCAAGGGCTCTGCGCCAGTTGCTCCGTGCAAGCGCTTTGCGCATGTGCTCTGTGCAAGTTGGTCTGTGCAAGTTGCTCTGCGCAAGTGCTTTGTGCAATTGCTCTGTGCAAGTTGCTCTGCGCAAGTTGCTCTGCGCAAGTGACTCTGCGCAAGTTGCTCTGCGCAAGTGCTGCCGGAGCTGCGGGGGTGTGCTCCGCGTACTACGTTTGTACTTAAAAGTTGCGATTCTCCAGCCGGAGCTGCGGGGGTGTGCTCCGCGTACTACGTTTGTACTTAAAAGTTGCGATTTTCCAGCCTGAGCTGCGGGAGCACGCTCCGCATACTACGTCTGTACTTAAAAATTGCGATTTTCCACCCGGAGCTGCAGGAGCACGCTCCGCGTACTGCGTTTGTACTTAAAAGTTGCGATTTTCAAGCCGGAGCTGCGGGGGTGTGCTCCGCGTACTACGTTTGTACTTAAAAATTGCGATTTTCCAGCCTGAGCTGCGGGAGCACGCTCCGCACACTACGTCTGTACTTAAAAGTTACGATTTTCCAGCCGGAGCTGCAGGAGCACGCTCCGCGTACTACGTTTGTACTTAAAAGCTGCGATTTTCAAGCCGGAGCTGCCGCGGACCAGGGGGGAATCGAACCCGCGACCGCGGGATTGCGAAAGCAGGCGCGCAAACCACGAGACAACTTCCAAAGGCCGTTTCGCGAGCAAGAATATTGCACGGCGCCACAGCGAGAGCGCTTCGACACGCACAATCTCCGCAGAGGGTTCGCCGAGACTAAGACAAATTCGCACGGCGCCACAGCGAGAGCGCTTCGACGCGCACGATCTCCGCAGAGGGTCGCGCGCGGCCAGCAGAAATCGTAAAAAGTCCTCAGTTTTTGAACCTCGACCACGCGAATCTCCGCAGAGGGTCGCGCGCGCATGCTAAAAATCGTAAAAAGTCCTCAGTTTTTGAACCTCGACCACGCGAATCTCCGCAGAGGGTCGCGCGCGCGTGCTAAAAATCGTAAAAAGTCCTCAGTTTTTGAACCTTGACCACGCGAATCTCCGCAGAGGGTCGCGCGCGCACCGCAGAAATCGTAAAAAGTCCTCGTTTTTGAACCTCGACCACGCGAATCTCCGCAGAGGGTCGCGCGGGCATGCTAAAAATCGTAAAAAGTCTCCAGTTTTTGAACCTCGACCACGCGAATCTCCGCAGAGCATCGCGCGCGCATGCTAAAAATCGTAAAAAGTCCCCAGTTTTTGAACCTCGACCACGCGAATCTCCGCAGAGGGTCGCGCGCGCATGCTAAAAATCGTAAAAAGTCTCCAGTTTTTGAACCTCGACCACGCGAATCTCCGCAGAGGGTCGCGCGCGCATGCTAAAAATCGTGAAAAGTCCCCAGTTTTTGAACCTCGACCACGCGAATCTCCGCAGAGGGTCGCAATCCCGAGCGACGATCAAACTCCCGCCCCGGCGCCTTAGAAACCTACACTAACTTACATAGCTGCTAACGCCGAAGCTCTAAGCTCTACCTAACCTTGGCTCTATGTAACTTGGCTCTATGTAACTTGGCTCTATGTAACTTGGCTCTATGTAACTTGGCTCTATGTAACTTGGCTCTATGTAACTTGGCTCTATGTAACTTGGCTCTATGTAACTTGGCTCTATGTAACTTGGCTCTATGTAACTTGGCTCTATGTAACTTGGCTCTATGTAACTTGGCTCTATGTAACTTGGCTCTATGTAACTTGGCTCTATGTAACTTGGCTCTATGTAACTTGGCTCTATGTAACTTGGCTCTATGTAACTTGGCTCTATGTAACTTGGCTCTATGTAACTTGGCTCTATGTAACTTGGCTCTATGTAACTTGGCTCTATGTAACTTGGCTCTATGTAACTTGGCTATGTAACTATGTAACTTGGCTCTATGTAACTTGGCTCTATGTAACTTGGCTCTATGTAACTTGGCTCTATGTAACTTGGCTCTATGTAACTTGGCTCTATGTAACTTGGCTCTATGTAACTTGGCTCTATGTAACTTGGCTCTATGTAACTTGGCTAACTTGGCTCTATGTAACTTGGCTCTATGTAACTTGGCTCTATGTAACTTGGCTCTATGTAACTTGGCTCTATGTAACTTGGCTCTATGTAACTTGGCTCTATGTAACTTGGCTCTATGTAACTTGGCTCTATGTAACTTGGCTCTATGTAACTTGGCTCTATGTAACTTGGCTCTAACTTGGCTCTATGTAACTTGGCTCTATGTAACTTGGCTCTATGTAACTTGGCTCTATGTAACTTGGCTCTATGTAACTTGGCTCTATGTAACTTGGCTCTATGTAACTTGGCTCTATGTAACTTGGCTCTATGTAACTTGGCTCTATGTAACTTGGCTCTATGTAACTTGTCCAAGGGCTCCGCACGGAAGAACCCTTCGCGATGCTTTCGGGAAAAAGTGTACAGCGCCATGCATCTACATTGCTGGTTGCAGCAGCTTGAGATGAAAAATGAAGACAAGAAACAGCTGCAAACGCTGTAAAACAAGGGCCCATAGGGCGTCTCACTCTCAAAAATTGGGGTGTCTTAATTAGTCGGACAAATTTGAGAATCCCAATTTTTCAAGAATGAGAGAATCTTGATTTGGGGTATTTCTCAGTCCGGTAAGTGGCTTCCAGTTGGCTTCCCTTTAAAACCAGCCAAAAAAGGGATTGTCTATTTTCAGAAGCCCCCATTTGGGCAGCACAGTGGAATTGGACACCACCACTTTGTGACTGAGTCAATCCATTACTCTGAATACCGATGTGTATAAACAGAATTTGCAGTCTCAGAAACACAAACTTGTTGGTTTCATCGACTCTCGACTGATGCATGTGTTTGCTTGGCATGATGCAACAACATGAGTCAAAACCCAGCTGCAGCGTGCATGGTAGGAAGTTTACTGGTGACAATTTCAAGTGTGTGTGTGTGTGTGTGTGTGTGTTCGTATGAGGGTGTCTTTTTGTAGGGGACCCGCTAAAACGGCGGTTTTCCCTTTGGTTTCCATTTTAAAACCACAAAAGGGGTCCCCTAAAAAAAACAAGCATATGTGTTCTAATTTGGGGGGCTAATCGCGTTGGGAGGGGGGTTGCTATTCGAAGAATGGTTTTTGGGTATGATTGTCGAACATGAGGCAGCCTCTCCAGATTTGTTGCGCGATGCCAACATGTTACACGTAGTTAAACTATGGCCCCGTTTGCACCCTGGTGCCGCCTTTACATGTGAATGCCAAAAAGTGCCCCCAATTTTGACACCCCCCCACATGAAGATGCATGTATATTTCTGGACGCTGACACAAGATTGATGCAGCTCGAAAAAATGTTTGGCTCCGCCCAGCCCGGAAAGCCAAACTGCCGAAGTGCTTGACAGGACTTGTTGGGCAGGAGGCCGGAGCTTGTTTCGCCCTGTGCTCAGTCATATCATGTCAGGGATCTATGCTAGATGTGTTGCGACGTTGAGGTCCGTGAAGCTCCGGCAGAATCCTCATAACGTGCATGAATGGCTGCAGCGCGCCAAGCTGTACAAGGACAACTGGGGGTTGATCAAAAGGTCCCAAATGCGTGCGGTGACCATGGGCTGGACACCACCAAAAAAGATTCGACGTTCACATGGGAAAAAAAAGTTGCTCGTGGTTTGACAGCCTGTTTTAGATCAGGAAACTACATGTTCTTGTCCGACTTTTGCAACATATCAGAAAGCTACATGACAACACATGACAACATGACAACACAGCCGTAAGTTGTGCCAAGCCATTGCAACAGGACACCCCGGAGAAAGTGATCCGATGCTTTACGGAAGCTGCGTCGAGCTCAGTGAGCTACAAGTTCTCAGCGGAGAAAACTTCGCCTTGAGGTGATGACGGTAGACCCGCAGAAAGCAGAGGGGCGGCTGTGGACGCTCTGGGCAGCCTTCGCTAAGGTGAGAGCCATGTCATGTCGTGTACTTCTTGTGGCGTTTTGAGGTGTTTTTTTCCGGCAGCGGGTTTTTTTTCTCTGAAACCCGCATGCTGCATGTCATGTACTTCGGAGCGTTTTGAAGTTTTCAACAACCGTCTGATTTTTCTGGAACCCTCTTCCGGCAGTTCTACGAGTCACACGACGACGTCGAAAATGCCCGCGTGATTTTCTCCAAGGCCACGCGGCGATTTGCCACTGGAAGATGTGGGTCAAAATCAAACCAGGAATTGGACCGCAGGTTGTCCAAGTTTCCGTTTGCCAGGGCAAGCCATTTTGGGTACATGGCTTGCGGGTCAAAAATGGGTATCCAAATGGGTTGCCCTGGTACATGGCACCCATGACTAAAACATGCGGTCCCCTGGTGGTTTAATTTTGACCCACACCCACATATTTTTGACCCACAGCCATGTGTTCATTCTGCAAGGCAACCCAGGTGAACTACCGGGGAGTTGACGACTTGGCATCTGCTCGTAGCCCAGACTGACGACTTCCGTGCCAATCCGAAAGCAAGGATGAGTGACTTGTTTGTTGTTGTTTTGTAATTCATTGTGATTAAGTAGCATGATTGTGGATTAAAGTAAATCCCATACTTGTTTATTTCCTTTTTTGTTTAATAACTTTCTAAAAGTGTCAACAATGTGCAAAGTGATTTGTTTTGTATGTCCCAGGTTTGGTGTGAATGGATTGAGATGGAGCTGCGACACAGGGAGTACGATGAAGCTCTCAAGGCGCCTTTTGGCGCCTTTTGGCCACTTGTGCACGTAGGGACGATGAAGCGCTCATGTTCGATGTTTATGCGCTGCTGTGTGCAGGTTGCGAGACAGGCATCAGGCCAGAAGAAGGCCGCGGCACTCAAGGAGGATAAGGCGCATCTCACACCGGCTAGCATGTTGCTTCTCCAGAATGTCTTCCGAAAAGTACTGGTCACGATTGACTGAGTTGATGACATGCAGAGCTGCCAAGATGCAAGAGCTATGCTCATTGTTCATTTCACCTCAAGATGTCGAGTCTGCGACAGAAACACAGGCGTTCAGCTCCGCAGGATGTTGTCCAGAACCGCCTCTTTCGCTCTACGAAGCTGTGGTCGCTTTGCATTGACCTGGAAGAGCTTGGCCCTAAACCTTTGGTCACAGAAAGATGGCTTGAGCTCTTCCATGCTGTTTGCTATGGTCACGCTTTCTGCAAGGTCCCTTGGCACGACACCTTCGACCAGGGTCTGCTGCTCGAGTCTTCTCGCACCGAGCATTGCAGCCGGCACACTTAGGCAGCTTACGATGCCATTCTTGAACTCAAGGCGCGATCTACTTATTGTGGGGCACCTCTCGCATGGAAAGCTGAGCATACCGAATCAAGTTTTAGCTCTTTGACAGGTAATTCGCCAGGCTTGTTCTTATTCCGGATGTAGGGGGCTCGATAGGTATCGTTTCCCAGTGACAGGGGAGGAAGGCTGCACAGATTCTGACAGCATACATGGCATTGGCACTGGACGGAATTGGATGGCATCCAGAATGCAGCTCAAGGATATGTTTGACAGATCTGACGGTGCACTCGCTGCTTCAGGTGGCCACTCCAACGTTGATCCTCAGTTACGCGAGATTTTTGGAGGCAGGGAATGTTGCTTCTCACGCTTCTCAGACAGCATGTTTAGCCCAAACCAACTCTGCCTTCTGCTGTGCAAGGATCGCAAGTATTTCGAGGATGCGTTCAAGATCTACGAGCGTGGCATCAAGGCATGCATGACAAATGCTGCCACTTGGAGCACTTCAGACTTGACGTGTTTCAGGTCTTCTCATGGCCTCACGTCAATGACATTTGGCCTGCCTGGCAAGTTTCTTCGACCACAGAAGGATGCACGTTGGCATGCACGAGGCTGACATACTTATCCAAGTTCGTGGAGCGATACGGCGGCCGAAAGTGCGCGCCAAAGACGGCGAAGTGCACAGAGCTTCAATCAAACTTGGGTATGTGTCAAAATTAGTCACCTCCAGACCGCAGGTTTTGGTCCTTGGTTACCAGGCTTCCATTCGTGGGTTACGCGATTCTTGACCCACAGCCAGTTGAGGTTGGAGCGTGCCAGAGATCTTTTCGAGCAAGCGGTCGAGAAGGCTTCAGCTTAGAATCTGTGGGGTGCGTATCTTTTTTAGGAATCGGACCACAACATGGGTGGATTGTTGCTTTTGGTTTCCCTTTAAAACCAAGAAAAGGGGTACCCTAAAAAAGAGGACGAGCCACCCATGTGTTCGTGTGTGGGTGTCTAATCTGCATGTGTTTGCAGGTGCCACCAAGGTTTGCTAGGAGGCCGGCTGAATCAATTCGTGAGAAATCCTTCTGCCGGCTTTGGCAGGCTACACATGCTCTACGCCAAGCTGGAAGAGGAGCATGGCCTCGCGAGGCCGAGAACTCGCTTTTCAGTTGAGCCACTTGCTCAAAACCGATTCGGGGATTGATGATCCGGTGGACGATCCCCTTGCCATAAATAGCTGCGGATATCCGCCTTGATCCTGTACATGGTTCTAAACCATTTTAGTACCAGGTTCTGAAATAAGTTGGCAACTCAAGAAAACATCCAACTGGCGGTTTCCCTTTTTGTTCGGGAATCCACAAACCACGGTTGTTTCCTCTAGAATCCTCAGACTCCCAGCACCCAGCACCCAGACTCGTTGTCAGTCCATATCGTTCAAGGCACGCCTTGTCCATCTACAACCGCGCAACGAAGGCGGTGGAAGAGAAGGCGGGAGCACTGCTTGGAAGCGACTCGACGGGTTTGGATGCGGTTTTTGTGGATCCCCTGAAGGGGCGAAGAACCAAAAGACTACGAAAATGCGACTAAAAGAGTAGGGTGAGATGTTGTGGATCCCCTGTAGGTTAAAGGACTACTAAACGAGTACTTAAAACAAGAACCAAAAGGTGAAGCAGGTGAAATCCACAAGATGAAATCCAAACCGTCTTCTAGAACACTGTACAGATGCAGATGCCTGTGAACGAAGGTGATGTTTGTGTTCGCCAGCTGTTTGATGTGTGGTAGGGTATGTTCAGATCAAGACATCTGCTGTCGCCATGTGCAAGAGATCATAGGTGTGTCAAGCCCTGAATGATTCATGATTCAGGTCAAAAAATAGCAAACCGTGCGATTCGGGGTTGGAGCGACAATGTTAGACACGTGCTCCAGTTCCTTGTGCAGTTCCGTGGCAAATTGTTATAGGTGTGGATGCTTGACGGCTAGACAGCGCAGGCTACCTATGTCTGGACCTGCGCCCCCATAGTGCCACCCAGCCTAGGTGATTTCCACGTTACGCCTCAGCTTGTCAATGTATGGAAGGCTATGCAACGAACGCTTGTTTGAGGTTTGCTAATTTGGCTCCTGGAATCCAGTCCACAAAGCGTCCGACACGTTTCTTTGTGATAATCCAATGTGCCTCTTATGTGACCAACACGATATGGATTTTGAACCTGTACTAGGCAGCAAAATAGCTGGGAGCAGCAGCTCTAGGCTACTCCGTCCCAGTCTGCGAGCACACAGAAATATTTCAGTTGCCTCACAAAACTTAAGATCACCGAAGTTGACACATGATGCCGGAGCGGTTTGCTCAGCAGCAGATCTATGGATTCTCCCGGTGTTAGAAACATGCAGATCTATGGCCAAAGCCAACCTTTGGCAAGCAGAGATTTTGAGCCCAACTCTGAAGCCAAGCTTTGGGTAACCAAAGACGCACGAAATTCTGCAATCGTTTTGGAAACAGGTCCCTGGTTCACGAGAAACCATGAGCGCTGAACCAGTTGCTCCCTGTTAACTGACTGAATGTCCCGAGCATTGGCTCGTGACGGGCCGTGAAACGCTTTTCTAGGATTTGTTTTTTAGTTTTACCCCAACGCGCTTCAGAAGGCTTCCGAAAGCTATGTACAAAGGGTTATGAGGACATGAGGTGTCTCTTGCTTGCTCATCTTTGCTTGCCATTGAATCTTGAAGGCTGAACACGAGGAAATCACTCTATGCGCCTCGGATATCCTTGCATGAATAGATAATTGTATGGATCCTTGCATATCATAGACCGAATAGTCTCACAACATAACGAGCAGTTGGAGCTTAGCTTGGGATCAGCTCGTGCGTTCAATATCTTCGTGCAGATGCATGCTTGGACAGCTTGTTCACCATCCATCAGCATGTTCTAGGGTCACGGTGTTCAGCGTCAGTTTACAGTGTTGCAATTGGGTCACAGGACATGTTCGAGATGTACAGCATACTCCTGCGGAAGACTGCCGAACTCTTCGGTCAGCACCTCGCGCGTTCTCGCGGGCAGCACCTGCCTTGTTCTTGAAAATGGAGCCCAAGGTCAGACAAGGACGCGCGAGATCTATGACCAGGCCATCGAAAATTTGCCTCAGGACGTCACACTGAACATGTGGCAGACATCATGGCTAGCATTTCGAGTTGAGCCTCAGAGCCTTTAAAAGTGTGCGGCAACGATTTGTTGATTCATGAAGACCAAATTGCGAGGATCGCATCAAGGATGCTTGCGTTCGCTACGCAAAGATGGAGACCATGCTTGGAGAGGCACACTGCATGCAACAGAACTTTCAAGCACGAGGGATGCCGGGCTTTCCAGCTGAGATTTGCCAAGCTGCATAGGTAGACAGGGCGCGCGGAATTTATGCGCAGACCCAAGTGGCTGACCTTGGAGCAGCTGAGTTTTATGCAGTGTGCTCTCCATCGCACTGTTTGTCGTTCAAAGAATGCTGACAAAGTAAAACATGCTGTGGATGGGCGCAATCCTGCACCACCTAATGATGGTGCCCCCGTAAATACCAACAAACAATGGTTTCAACCATGGTTTCAAAGTGGTGCAAACGGGTTTCGCAACCATCCACAGTATGCTTTGTTACACATGTGCAGAAGGCTTTTCCTGGATCCCTGTGAAGAGTGGTAGCGACGTTGTTCATGTAGCGATATGGAGCATCTAAGGTGCACGCATCCCAGCCGCAGACTCAAGACGGTCAATTTTGATTCACCTAAGCCTATGTGTGAAGGAACGTACATGCTGTTTGTATGTTGGCCACCAGTGGTATCTGAAACAGAGTATAGCCGCACATGTGCTATCTACAAGGAAGAGTATGTACTGAAGGGGGACTAGGGGCCGAGGTTCTGGATATATCATTGGTGGAATGCAGTGGTGACCGAGGTTCTGTGATCCCAGGAGGGAGGAGGAGCTAGAGCCTCACATGCTGAAACACCGCTTTTCAAGTCCCTGCCGTATTGAATTATCGATTGTTCCGTTCATGTTGCCAGGTTTTGGAAAGTCTGGCGTGGCTTTGAAGTGCAGCACGGCAACGAGGATACGTGACGTCCTCACTTTTGTGACTTCGAAGAACATGATGAATGCTGCTATGATTGTCAGGTTCAGCAACATGTGAGTGTGTTTTTTACAACCAAACCAAACGGGTACCCTAAAATAAAAGGGGTTCCCCAAATGTGCTTCGATGTATGAGGGGTATTGGTTCTGCAACATGCGGGTGAGTCTTTCTTCGGGGGCCCCAGAAAAAGATTGGTTTTCCTGTGAAACTAACCCTAAATTCCCTTAAAAAGAGACACGGCCACGCGCTTTGGCAATCCAACGGCCTGGAGGTTCCGGGACATGCTGCGAATCAAGCGAAGCGTCCAGGCGATGTTTTCTCAGGCACGTTGCTTGGGTCAAAAATCGGGTAACCCCGACATGGGGTGCCCTGGTAAATGGAAAGGACTCAAATCTGCGGTCCCATTCCTGGTGGTCGTTTTGACCCATACCCATATTTACCAGCGCTGGCAATGCTTGCCTTGACTCGAAGGAGGAGCCTTTGCACCTCAAATTGCTAAGTCCAGCGGATCTGGTCAGGTCCACTTCAATGCGACGGATATTGCTGCGGAAGCAGGCGCAACACGGATATTGCTCGCAACAGCTGTTTTTCCCAATGGCTTGCTTCAGGTAAGGAGGTGCTGGATCCAATGGCAGTCGGAAGCTCATGCCAGCTTTGCTCAGTCCAGAAGTGCTTTTGCGAGAGGCAGCAGAGGAGCAGATGAAGTCAGAGGAGGAGAGGAAACGACAGGACGGGAGCATCAAGGGATGACCCTTGGGGAAACCACCAAAGACGAGCTCTGACATTCACATGGGAAAAGTTAGTCTACAGGGTGGACCAACAGATAAGCCACATCCAAGCCCCGTTTCTAGAATGCCGCTTTGCATTGATCATATGTCTTGCCAGGGCGGGGCACTTGGCCCTGACTCCAAGCGACAACGCGTCACCGCAGACGCAGAGACAGCACGGAAGGACTCATCTCGTGGTGATTCAACTTAGCTTTGCAAGTGCGGTTCCATTTAACCCACGAGTTATTTTCACTTTCAGCAGGGAATCTGAGGACACAACTTGGCTTTGTTTGGATTTGTTTAGATCTTGTCTAGTTGGTTTAGTGGTTGGGTTCCGTATTTAAGCCACAAGGTGTTCACCGATGACCCTCCTGTCCGCTCATCATGGCACCCGCCAGAGGACCCTGAAACGTCAGGTTCCATGTTAATGGACAGGAGGGTCATGCGTTGATCGTTGCCAATGTTACGTGGTGGCTAACCTAGACACGCACTATCAGCTATGATTCCATACTGTTGCAGCCCAGATGATTCAGCGCGTAGGCATACCAACGCAGCACGTGTGATGCGAACGATTTGCCACAGGAGTTGTTGGGCAAATTTGAGCCTGCTGACAGATTCGAGGTGCGGCTCTTACAAGGTGGCGCTATAGCCGATCAGCTGGTGTTCTATTCAAGCAACTTTGAGATGATCAGGGTGCGCGGGATGGCTGGAGCTTCAAAGTCGGCATCAAGGGCCTTGGATATTATGAGGACACGTCAGCAAGATGAACCATACTGCACTGAGTTCCTGCGAGGATTAGCTTGCCTTGTGAATGCACAGGATGCATCCCTGCGTGAGATCGAAGCGAGATCAGCTGCAGCTGCTGCTGCTGAGCGAAAGGCCGTGCACGTTGCAAATGTTAGGGCTTGCCTGATGGCTGGCTGTGGGTCAAAGCCAATGGGATTCCATTTTGGGGTAGGTGCACCACCCAGTTTAATCGATTTTAGTTGGGATTGAGATATTTTGACCCATGGCCTGCTGAATGTCAAACCTGCAAACCTGCCAGGCATTGGCTGCGGAGAGAAGAGCAACTGAAGTTAACCCGGAAGAGATCGAGCTTGATATGGACTGCTTGACTGCTTGTTCTTATTTCTATCTTGGGCCCCACTGGGTGTGGCTCAAAATTAAACGATCGGAGGGGCAAACCGCAGGTTTTGGTCCATGTTTCCACTTACCAGGGTTCCAGTTTGGTACTGATGTTTTGAGCCACTGCCCACTTTCCGCATGCCAACGACTCAGAAACGCCAGGACGACGATGAGGACGGCCCGTCTGAGCCTGCAGCCGCAGCACCTGCCGCAGCCATGGCTGGCAACTCCGAGGATCCAGCACAATCCTTTGGTGCATTTTGCCTGGATGTTAGGATTTAACTTTTTGCCAACTAATGGATTTTCCATTAAACCTAAAAGTTGAACTTTTAGGAGGGGAGCAGAAAGCAACCCAGAATCGACATGCATGGGTTGCTTTCGTTCAGTGAGGTGGGTCAGGTTATCCCCGTTTCACAATGGTGCACCTACCCCAAAATGGGATCCCATTGGTTTTGACCCACAGCCACATTCGAACACGAAGGGCGCATTCGTACATTGCACGCTCTATGCTCATGTGTTGTATTTTGCAGAGTGTTCCGTAGCAATGCATCGCGAGAGTTGAAGGCATTGCAAAAGCTGTTCGATGTGACCACCATCATTTGCCTCTCGATTCGGATGGTCAAGTAGCAAGCTGAAGCCAAAGGGATCAACTGATGCCCCAACAAATGTCCGATATCTATAGTTTGTTGCTTTTGCGGAATCACTGGCAAAGAAGGACTCGAAGTGAATAAAGCCTAGCAAGCCAGAAACAGCCACGACTTCTCGTGTGGAAGGTGTTGCACACATCGCTACTGTCTTTTTGGTGTTCATTTCAAGCCGTTGCCGTAAGCCCTGCGCTGCAATTTGGGCACTGAAAAGATCTCAGATTACTTGGCATGCTCGAGTAAGAAAGACTGCAGGAAATCTGAGATCATTCATTGCCCAAAGAAATCTTACCTCTTCTTTCCTACTCAACTTTAAGACTGCAGGAAATCGAGCTCAATGTTGAAGACATTGAAGAAGCGCCGATCCCCTCAGAGGCACTGCTTCGTGTTGCAAGCTTGGGTAAAACGAGCCGTGACCGGTGCCAGGTCTTTGGTGGCGGTCTGTCCAGCGTGAGAGCGAGCCTTCCGGAGAAGTGTGCTCGTTTGCAGTGGCAAATTTGGGGAATCTGCTCATGTGTTTTGAAGTTGTCAAGGAATTTCAGAATCTGTTTGTACGGGATTGACTTAGGGATGCTTGGGTGCAAGCAGAATTGATGTCAAATTTCGGATTGGCCGTGAATTCATTATGTCCTCGTTTTGGTTGACTCAATTGTCTCTGTTGTCGCAGGAACCACTGCGTTGTTTGTGTCATGCACTTCAGGGGCTGCTGGGGCGGATTTGAAGACAGCAAAGAGAGCTGCTGACCAGCACAAGCATGCCATCAACCAAGCAAGGTCGCGATTCAGAACCAAATAACCAAGTAGTAAGTAGTCCAACGAAGCGTGGCTGAACGACAGGGCCAGGTGAGCAGTGCAGTGGTCTCTGGGGAGCAGCCGTGCCAGTGCAAGCCTACGCGCGTGTCATGGCAACAGTGATCCAGATTTGAGCTAGGGTAGAAAGCAGACGTTTATGCATGCAGAAAGCTGTGTGCCGACCCAGCCAGTTTTGTAATTGTTTGCACAGGCGATAGGCAAAGCCCAGGCAAGCCATTGAGTTGCCCAGACCTGTAGGCCATTCCCAATGAGTACTGTTGGAGAGTGGTTTATGTTAGAACGTGGTGATCGGCAACTATCTTACCTGTAGCTCACTCGTTGTTTTCAGGGTGTCAAAACAACATCCTGCGTGTATGTGTGTGTGTGTGTGTGTTCTCTTATGTTTTTGTTTGCTCCCTTGTAAGCGAAATGGATCAACAAGCAAGCGAAAGAGCCACCACACAGTTCATTCATGTATCTAACATGAGCACTCCGAAAACTGAAACAGGTGGCTTCGCGGACGAGAGATATGTTGCAGCAAACCGCGCAGGAGGAAGCAGTGAAGGAGCCTCCCTTGGCTGAGCCAGCACCAGCAGTGGAGGCGGCATCGCAGTGTCTAAGTATCCGTTGCACGCTTGAAGTTGGTTGAACTTGGTGCCAAGGAGAAGAAGCGAACTGGTGCTTTGGCTAAGTTCCAGGCTCGACATACCAATATGTCCTTGGTTCAAGACAAGATTGGAAGAAGTAGTTCCAGCACAGTCCCTGTGTGTGACAATGCTCCCTGTTTCCGCAGAAGAAGGGCAAAGGCAAGGGCGGAAGCAAGGGCTGAGCGCTTCGGCCACAGGCTTTGCTCACAGAGTGTTTACCCAAGTTGCAGCATGCAAATATAGAGTGAAACGCAGACAACATAGAGACCTTCCATCGCGATAGTACCACTTTGTGACAGCATCTGCTAGAAGATGCTGAGCGCGCAAAAGCAAGTGGCTAGGCACCTGCATGGGAAAAGACGTGCAAAGTGGGCAATGTGCATTAGCATGAGTCATGTGGGACACAGAGCCATGTGTTCTTGCCTGCTCCATCGATTCACTTTGATGCTGGCAGTCTATTGACAAGCAAGTTAGACTGAGCACAAATCACGATAAATAAGCGTTTCGCAGCCAAACAGCGCTGATGTCAGACTCAAGAAGCGTGGGTATGTGTCTAACAGACGCACGGTTCTCCAAGGCACCAGGGAAGCATAGACTAGACATGTTGGCAAATTTGTATGTCACCAACAACTGTTTGACTGAATGACAGCAATCGCAGCTTCATTATGCAGAGGGATTCTGCATGGAGTTCGAAGTTGAGGTCAGTGCAGAGGGTCGCGTGCTGGGTTTAGTGCCGGAGGCTTGGCCCCCAGGCCCTGTTCGCGTGGCCGCAGTCTTGGCAAACAGCGTCGCGGCAGAGAATGACATTCGCGTGGGCGATGAGCTGGCGATGGTCAACGGATTGTTCGTCAGCTCTTTGGATCACCATTCTTTGGCCAGGGAGCTCAGCAATCGACCCCTACGATTGCTTCTGCAACGTCATGCGCAACCAGATGGATGCATGATCATTGACGTGCGTGCAGGCCCTGATGATGGAGCAATTGGCTTCTTTCCCAAGAACTGGCCGCCGGGGCCAGTGGTCGTGGGCGCCGTTCTGCCAAGCAACCTTGCAGCTCGGAACGGCGTGCAAGAAGGAGACCTACTGTGGCTGGTGGAGGGAAAGCAGGCTGCGCTCATGTCCTCTGCTGATCTCACCAAGTCTTTGTCTCAGCGACCCTTATCACTGCGCTTTCTTCGTGGAGATGCTTTAGAATATGCAAGTCATGTCCTTGGCAGCGGAAAGATTTCAATATTTGAGCCCCCCTCAGAACATCACGGCATCATCGAGCAGACACAGATTTTGCAGGTGCAGCAATTGCATTTGCAGCAACTTCAGCACAGTCAGGAACAGGGGCACTACCCAAAGGTGCAAAAGGAGAGCCAGGCAACCTTGGAGCGACAAAATGACGAAAGGCGCACGCTTCAGTTGATGCAAAAGCAGCACATGTCCCACCTGCATCAGACTTTCCGGGCGCATCAGCAACTCCTTGAGGAGCTTCCGGTTGATGGCGAGAGCGTGACTCCAGAGACTCACTCAGATGGGAGGAGGTTGCGAGGCAAGCCGCCAAAACCACGAACCCCACAAAAGCGGACAAAGACGCAGAGCCCCAATGAGCAAGATGAGCAGTCAACGAAGCGGGACCATGTGATTCCGCAAGAGCAGACAGCCCACTGCACACAATTCACGCAGACGGACGTGCCTTCCCTGGAAGACAAATACACACAGCCAGAAGCTGTTGCAACAGAGGAATTCCCCAGCGCAGAGGTTACACAAACCGACATGCCTGAATTGAAAAAGAAAGCTATCCAGCCTGATCCTGATTTGTTCCCCCTGGATCGCGTTCCCAGCTCAGCAGAGTTGCTGGAAAGTGAAAGTATCACTGCCGCAAGCGTGCAAGAGATGGATTTGCCGGCACTAGTACCTCTCAGCTCAATTGAGCCCCGGCAGCCGGATACCATCCGCAGGACTCTTCCTGATTCCTCCGGGCATGTCTCTGGCAGATTTCACTGGGGGCGCGCATGTTCTCCATCTTCACATGCTGAGCCGTTGGATAAAGAGATGAACGAGCTTAGGCTTTTGCAGCGGACTCTCAACACGAACGATCAATGTCATGGGCTCAAGTTGCGCGAGCTGCCTCCTCCACAAAGACCTCCAGCTGGGGAGGTGCGTCAAGACGCACAAGTCGCTTTGCTTCCGCTGGCAAAATTGTTGATTGTCCTGTGAATGCAAGAACTGATGGGTGATGCCTTGCTCTGTTTGTCTTGCTTGAGCCATGCCAAGGAGAAGCAGTCGGAAACTCGGACAGCGGCAAAGTCGGAAGTTGTCTTTTCGAAGCTGCAGAAATGGCTTGATCAATGTGCACTCTCGCAGAATGCGGTGATTTTCTAGCCGAAGCCGAAGCATGCTGTTCATGCTTCCTCCAAATGGAGGAGAGTGTGGCCAGGTGAGAAATGTGGGGCGCTGTCATGCTTGATGCTGCCAGGAAATCAGCTTGCATTTCAATGGCCGTTTTTGTCAAAACCGTTTTGGGATCCCATGTTGGGGTTTTCGGTGCACCACACATTTTAGAACCTACTGTGGATGGACGAAATCCTGCACCACCTAAGAAACCCTGGAAGGATGATTCCCCTGTAAATACCAATAAACAATGGTTTCAACCATGGATTCCAAGTGGTGCGAACGGGTTTCGCAACCATCCACAGTATGTTAGCGGTTGGATTGGTTGATGTTCACTAGGGGCTAACCGATTTGCATCCGTGACGCCTTGGCTCAAGTTTCACCGCGCGGCAGCTGGCGCGCTTTCCTGTGGAGCGCGGGCTCATCCGCTCATGGCAGGCCTAGCCAGTTTCAGGCCGGAGGCGAAAAGGGTGGCCAAGCATGAAGACCATGTTTTTAAAGAAAAACTGCGGGGTTATTTCACAACCAGAAATGGATGCAGCCGATTGTGCGGCTCATTTCATGATTCGATTTTTCAGCAATCACTCATGTGACTCATGCACGAACCAGGCCATTCGTTCGAATTTGAGTATCTTTTCTGGTTTCCGCTGAGGTGTACCAGCGTGCATCTGACTCGATGGCATCGAATTCCAAGGTGTTTTTGTTGAGTTCGTGCCTTCTTGCCCGGGGTGCTGCCATGCCTTGAGGCAATGCAGGAAGTACAGGCAATTGTTGAAGTGATTGTGGAGAAGGGCGGGCGGCCCGGCAAAAAATATGTCCTCATTGACTGTTGCACAAGAGCAAGTGGAGTTGGCAGGCGTATTCTAGCTGAGAAAGACCTCCAACGCCACCTCATACATAATGCGTGGGAGGTGACGAAAGAGGCCGGAAAGCATATCAGCTGAATTGAGGTTGCTGCGAGCGTTGCTGTTCAGGTGACATGCTCGCACCTTCAAATGTGCTTTGTGCCTCACGACAGCAATCCTATGCAGGCGCGAGCTGATTGTATGAAGGTTACTGGTACCTGCCAGATGGCTTCACGCATGACCAGCAGAACCCACTAGTTCTGGAATTGTCTTCGTGCATGTTTATGATTATACCCACTCCCCAAGCTGGCTTTCCCAACAAGCAAGCAGTATCTGAGGGGTGCAATGATGCAGTGATCCTCTATGCTTTGCAGAAACAGTGAATGGGAACAGCCTTCGGTTTCGTCTAGTCTGCAACTGTCATTAATTGTTCTTCTCCTCCTCATCTCTGGCCTTTCTGCCTTTGTGCAGTAACATGAGTTGACCCCCTTGATATTTCGCAACACGCAGAACAGATTGGGTTAGGCTCTTTTGAGCGGAGATTCGCAACTTGTCCGGAAGTCATTTTGGAGCTTCTATCATGTCACTGTCCGTGCAGGACAGCTTGTGGATGGTGGAGGACGAGCCACCGATTTGCCCTCAGCGACTCGCCACCGGTGCGACCATAAAAATCCATGGAGTTCCCAGGGCTCCGCCTTCGGACATTTGGCTGCGGAAACAGCTGGAGGCGCATGTTTTTTTCAAAGTGTATGGGTCAAAATGAAACCAGGAATTGGACCGTAGCTTTTTGTCCATGTTTCCACTTCTCAGGAATTGCAAGCCATGTTGGCGTCACCCTATGTTCGACTCACAGCCAGCTAGCAAATCCACAAGTCGAGTCGCACCAGTCGATGTGCAGGTCTTAGATGGTCGAGCGCTTCAGGCGACGGTTTCAATTTAATGTAACTGATTGTTGGATGTGTCAGCTTGCCAGGCACGCCACGCTTTTGCCTTGGAAACCTTCTTTGTTTCTTGACCACTTGCGTCCGCCATTGAGGCCACGCCGAACTCTCCAAGTCGAAGAAGGAGAGGGCTGCAGGGTTTGTGTTCCATTTTGCTTACCCTATTCTTGACCCGCCACTACGCACTTGCTGCGCAAGTGCCTAGCAACGTGTTCCTTTGTACACTCTGAGACTTCCTACTGCTCCTTGACAGGAAGACTCGTGCAAAGGTTTGCGTACCTTCCAGACTGGTCAACCGACGAATGTCGATGCCAGAAGCTCAGACAACTCGGCACATTCCGTTGATAGTAGGCTTGCAGCTGGCCAACACAAATCCGCACAGCAACACCTCAACTCGTACCCGGGGATTGACTAGGTTGCTTGAGTGGTACGTTGACCCGGGTTGCTTCACATACTGCTTGTTAGCCCATATTGCTGGCCTTATGTTTCACAGGTCAGGCAACCTTTAATTGGTGGTTTGGATTGGTGGGAACTGGGGATTCGAACCCCTGGTTCTGCAAGCGAAACAACCCCAGCTGGCTGCTAGAGAGACTCTCAGTCAAACTGAGTATGCTAGGGCACTCCTTGGGCTTACTATGCAGGTGGCACTGGTGGAAATGATCAAATGAAGGATTGTCCCAGTCAGAATCAAAGTGCCACTAGCTGGAGTGCTTGCTGTGGGCATTGTCGCTGTAGGCGCCCCTGGCACTAAGCAAAGCCGTCTTTTTGCAGCGAGAACTTGCGAAAAAGCAA